GAGGAAACTACTTCCCAATGTCTGCCCTCTGCAAAAATAAAAAACCATGCTAAATAGCTGAGTTTTATTAACTGAGAAAGCCCGGCTGAGGAAAACGCCCGATAATTAAAAATAATGGCTTCCTTACAAATACAAAATTGTATTAATTTAAAAATTGGTTTCTCTATCACCGAATTCCTACCGAGCCGACTGGGAAGGGAATTGTGCTGATCCTGGCAGTGAAAATAATTCAAAATAACTTTTATGTTCTCCAGGAAGCCTCAAGGTTAATTTAAATATTGCTAGCCGGGTAATTTAATTCTGAATAAGAGAACAGTGTGGCTAAATTAAAGTTCCCACATGCTCCAAACTGGGGGACGGGGACCCCCAAAGGGCCGAGCTGCCCGTGGAACCCACCACATCTCACACAGCCCAGCTAAGGCACCTCCTCTTTATAAATGGCACCCTCGTAATTAAAGATATTTGATTAGATTACACAACTGACCTGATCTCCTTGGCTTATCTTCCAGTGAATTTATCAGCGTTAATTATTAGGCAGATTGGGCATTTTAATAGAAATTTCACATTTCAAAAGTTAACTCAAACCTGTGCTATCACCAAACCACATTCCCAGGGACATGGTGAATATGGGAGTCAAAACCTACCCTTCCTTATCAGTGGCTCATGGTTGGCACCTATTGTTACTTCTCTATGGCTAGTGCACACCTGGGACAAGGGTCAGAGGCCTCGTCAGTTCTTAGCAACAGCAGCAAACCCTTTGCAATCAGAAACTAAGGATCCCTCTCCTGTGCTCACCTGGGATTTCGTTCTTTCTATAATCTTCTCACCTTCACACACAAATATAGTTGTTGCAATGATAGTCATAGATATGATTTACATGTGGCTCTTTCCTGTGATTATGTTTTATTATGGTTATATATATGACTTACCTGTTGGCCTCTCCCAGGTAACTGAAGATAGGGCCTTTTTTTTTTTTTATTCAGGGTCTTACTCTGTTGCCCAGTCTGGAGTGTAGCAGTACAATCATAGCTCTCCACAGTCTTAACCTCCTGAGCTCAGATAATCCTTCCACCTTAGCCTTCCCCGGAGCTGGGACTACAGACACACACCAACCGCGTGTCAAATTTTTTTTATTTTTAGTAGAGACGAGGTCTCACTGTGTTGCCTAGGCTGATCTTGAACTTCTGGCCCCCAGCAATCCTTCTGCTTTGGCCTCCCAAAGTGCTGGGATTACAGACATGAGCCAACATGCCCAGCCGATAGGGCCTTAGATCACACTGTGTGTATTTTAACCAAGGGTACACATCAGAATCACCCAGGGACTTTTAAAAATCCATAAGCCCCCAGCCCCAGTCAGTGGAGCAGTGGTACATTGAGAGAGCATCCCAGGTGGTTTAGAATTACAGGGCTGATGGAGAACCCCTGGCCCCACACACAACTCCCCCACCCCTACCCCATCCTAGGGATGGAGATGGCGAGCTCCAAGTTAGGATCCTGGCCCTATCCCTTCTTATGTGCGAACTTGAGCAGGTCCCTTAAATCTACCTGGGCCTCCTGTGTAAAATGGGGGTGATAGTAGTGCTTGCCTGAGCGCACTGGCGTGTAGTTAGATCAAACAAAGGCAGTGTTGAAAATGACATTAAATCCATCAAAGTGCTCAATGCACTGCTGTGTGTCTCATCCCAGTCTCTCTCAGAGAAGGCACCAAGTCTGGCATCAGCTGAGACTTAATGTTCAATCATTAATAAATGCACTAGGAACCCTACGATATGAGCAAAGAGAAGCAAAAAGGAAAAAAAAATAAGAAAAGGGAAGAGGGGGGCTAGGAAAAAGATGGCCAAGGGGAGGGAAAGGAAGAGGACGTGAGGTCGGTCCCCAGCAGTTGCCTCTGGAAACCCAGAACATCCTTCCTCATTGCAGCCACATCATTCATTCTCCCTAATAAAACACTGGCAAGCTCTTGAACTGAGGTTCTGAAGTACATAGGTTTAAGAATCTTGGTGGCCTTCTGCAGTCATCCCAGATGAAGCCACCTAGTATGGTCGCCCTTCTGCTTCCAGAGGAAGGCATCTTTCTGACCCAGCCTGTGTTCTGCTGTGAAAATGATGACTCGAATCCCCGATAATCCTGACAAGGATGAGATACAACAACATCACACTGAGCGCTTCGATGGGCTTAATGTCATTCTCAGCACTGCCTTTGTTTGATCTAACTACACAACAGTGTGCCCAGGCAGGCACATTATCACCCCCATTTTACACAGGAGGCCCAAGTAGATTTAAGGGACCTGCTCAAGTTTACACATAAGAAGGAGTGGGGCCAGGATCCCAACTTGGAGCTCGCCATCTTCATCCCTAGGATGCATTGGGGGTGGAGGGGTTGAATATGGGACCAGGGGTTCTCCATCAGCCCTGTAATTCTAAACCACCTGGGATGCTTTCTCAACATACCACTGCTCCACTGACTGGGGCTGGGGCTTATGGGTTTTTAAAAGTCCCTGGGTGATGCTGATGTGTACACTGTGTGTATTTTAACTTTGGACCTATTTTTTAAAAAATCCGACCACTCACCCTTTGCCTCCTTGACTGTTCTTCCCAATTGCTGCAAGTTTGATGACAGGAATCTTCCACCTGAAGTTAGCTTTCCTTCTCATCCCAACAGCTCACCACCCTTATTTCTATCTCCGTGCACTGATGCCTTTTCTTTTCTAATTGCCCTACTGCAAATGTTCTGCCCTCTTCTTTGTGGTCTGACCCTATGGAAACAGCAATGACTTGGGAAATAAGGTAGCCATGGGTTCAAATCCCACCTCTGCCACTTGTCTAACTATTTGACCCTTAAGCTCAATTTTTCTTATGCAAAATAGTTTCTACCTGTGTCATGAGAATTAAAATGGCACATAGTACCTTATGAACTCAAAGGAGCCTAAGAGTAAGCAATCTGTGATTGTATGGATGAATATTGAAGATACCTAGATCAACAGAGATCTAGACTCTTTTTCTCTGGATGACCATCTTTCTGGAAGTTTCCATCCTCAAAGTTCACCACATATTTACAAGTTGAATGCTGGAGTTCCAGCCATCACGAACATGTTTCACCTAGGAAAAGGAGGAGAGTGAAAAGAACTAAAGGTCGTTCCCTCTAACTGAGTCAGTTTCCTTTAAGGACATTTCCCAGAAGACCAGCCAACAACTACTCACAACTTGCTGGCCACCCCTCTCTCCAAAGGAAGCTGTGAAAGGTAGTTCTTTTCCTGGGCACAAAGCTGTTCCCCAGAATACAGGTGTCTGTGGTATGTAAAGGATTCCGTCTCCCCCACAAGCTGCAATGTGGAGCCCTCAAGGGTTGTGAAAATGTTTCACAGTCGCTTCGTTGTTGGACTGATTTCCAGGTACTCAGAGATACAGGATACAAAAAGCAATAAAGCTGGTGAAATGTCTGAGAGGTTAACTGGTTGAAGTCTTGAAGATCTGAGTTGCAGACCATCCCTACCACTTCAGTGCTGTATGACCTTGAGCAAGTTGTATAACCTCTCTGTTTCAAGCTGTTTCCTCATGTGTCAAATGGTCTTTGAGCATCAACTCACATAGTGGACACAAAGTGCCTGACAATGCCCATATATATCAGTCCCAAGCATATGTTCAAGTCAGCATCATCATATCATTATCATCAAGTGCGGTTGAATTACTTGCTGGTGAAGCGAGGAGGTACCAGATCTCTCTCCAGTCCCTTCCTCCTGCCTGTTTACACCTTCCCTCTTCCTCAGCAGCCACCCTGGGAATGTCTGGATTTGCAGTCAATTCTGTTGTGAGAGTCTGGGCCGAGTCCAGCTCATTTCATTTACTCAAGCCATCCACTCAGGGCTGGAGAAATCTCCAGGGTCCCTGTCCTTTGTCCCTAACCAGAGTCGGTCTCCCAGCTCTGCCTTCTGGGGCAGGCTTTCTTCTCTGATCAGATCAACTTCTAAATAAATATTAAATTATGTCTGATGTGTTCCAATAGTCCTTTCAAACCTAAATTGATCTGTTCTTCCCTTTGTTGGAATTCCCCCAGAGCTGCCGAGGCCTTCCCACTGAAGTCTTGTGTTCTTGACAGTGGCAAGATTTTTCTCTGGATATTAGAAGTAGGGACGTTGCTGGGCTCGGTGGCTCAGCCTGTAATCCCGCACCTTTGGGAGGCTGAGGTGAGTGGATTGCCTGAGCCCGCGGGTTCGAGACCCGCCTGGGCAACTTGGTGAGACCTCGTCTCTACAATAAATCAAAAAATCAGCTGGGCATGGTAGCACATGCCTGTAATTCCGGCTACTTGGAAGGCTGAGGTGGAAGGATCGCTGGAGCCCAGCAGGTCGAGGCTGCGGTGGCCGGGAGCGGCCACTGCACTCCAGTCTGGGCGACAGAGTGAGACTCCAACTCAAAAAAAAGTAGGGAAGTTCACACAGGAATGAGCCTCCGTATTCCCAGATCTTTGTAAAAAAAAAAAAAAAGATAGCTAGCCACTGCTTTCCACCCTTCTAGGTTCTTTTTTTTAAAAATTGTATAAGATATCATGGCGCCTGTCCTGAAAGACCATTAACTTCTCAGCCAATGACATCCCCAAAAAGTGTTCTAAGTGTGCAAATTTACTAACTCTCAGGGTGGCCAGGCAGGGCGGTCAAAACCCCAGGTCCAGGGCTATTGTATGGCTATGTAATTTCTATACTTTCTACAGTGGGATAGCACCCTTGTGATTGTGCAGTGCACATCCTACCTAACGACCCACAGTAGCCATGTCCCAGTCGGTCAACCCCAACCATCAGCTGCCTTATGTGTGCTAAACAAATGTCACCATGTTCTATGTGTGCCAAGATGTTGAGGAGTCTAGAAAACACTAGGTAACTTCAGAGTTCTTTCTTTCTTCAACCCACACTCATTTCCCGGCCACACCAGCCATGTCCTCCACAGAAGCCTGAGCAGACATGTCTGGGTGGTGTTTCTCAAACCCAGCCCATTGTGTTTCCCTAGGTCCATGGAAGAAACCTCTTGTCCATCGACTATGACCGGAACATTCGGACAGAAAAGATCTATGATGACCACCGGAAGTTCACCCTGAGGATCATTTACGACCAGGTGGGCCGCCCATTCCTCTGGCTTCCTAGCAGCGGGCTGGCGGCCGTCAATGTCTCATACTTCTTCAACGGGCGCTTGGCTGGCCTTCAGCGTGGTGCCATGAGCGAGAGGACCGACATTGACAAGCAAGGTCGCATCGTGTCCCGCATGTTCGCCGACGGGAAAGTGTGGAGCTATTCCTACCTCGACAAGGTGGGTGAACGTGCTGCCCGGCTGCAGGGGCCTTCTGTCATTCCTGCAGCCCTTTGTAAACCAGCCTGACGTGCTTTACCATAAAACATTCTGCTTTTTTATTACTAGAGATGGAATCTCACTCTGTTTTCCAGGCTGGGGTACAGTGGCACAATCATAGCTCAACCTGCTGTCTCAATCTCCTGGGCTCAAACAATCCTCCCACCTCAGCTTCCCAAGTAGCTGAGACTACAGATGTGCACCACCACACCCAGCTAACTTTTCAACATTTTTGTAGAGATGGGGGTCTCAATATGTTGGTCAGGCTGGTCTTGAACTCCTAGCCTCAAGTGATCCTCTCGTCTCAGCATCCTAAAGTACTGGGATCAAACTGCCCAGCCCCCATAAGACTTTCTAACATCTTCACTTTGACTCCACAAGGGCTGTCCCATGCATCCTCCCTCAATGGGAGGAAGAAAAGCAAAGGAAAATATTATTCATAGCTCAGCACTATTACCATTAAGCAGGGGGGAAAGTGCTAGACATTCAGTAATGGCAAAAGGACGGATTGTCTGATTTTATTCCAAAAAAGAAAAAGCGCCGTGGAAGCAGACAGATTCATCCCACTGGTGGCACGGCTCATCATTACTTATGAATTGGAAATGCAGTGATTCATTTCCACTTGGCCCTAAATTAAGCCATCAGGATAGGGAATTCTGCCTAAGATTCAAGCACACAGAACAGCACTCTCCTATTGGCCTGTTGGCTGAAATAGCCAGCGGATTCTTTCTACGTAATTCCCTGTGTCTGAAAGTGACAAATGCAGGTCTCCAAGCCTGAAAAAGGTCAGTGGAGGTGGGGGGGGAACAGGTCCCTCGGGACATGTTGAGACTTTTGAAGTCTGCCCTGGTCATCTAGTCATTAGGCAGAGACTTGTTCAGCCTGGGCCCTGGACTCCCCTCGGGGAGGGTCCATCCTTCCTTACTCAACCACTCACTGCAGCAGTAACTTGCAGACAACACATCGTCCCTCTGTGAGAGCCAATTGGTCCTTCCCGAATACCTTTCTCATTGTGCTGTAAAATACTGGGATGGTTGATGGGGAGGGGAGCAGGAGTCTCCCCGTTGCCTCTAGTGGAAGTTATCCCCGCCCCCCCGCCCCCCCCCCCGCAGAGTCCGTGATTCTGGGTTATTTCACTTTGCAGTAGCTTCAACATGGAGAATGTGTTTTCTGGCCAGACGCAGTGGATCACGCCTATAATCCCAGCACTCTGGGAGGCCGAGGTGAGAGGGTTGCCTGCGCCCAGGAGTTCGAGACCAGCCTGGGCAACATGGCAGGACCTCGTCTCTACAAAAAAATCAAAAAATTAGCCAGATCGCAGTAGCCGTGATCATGCCACTGCACTCCAGCCTGAGTGACAGAGTGAGATTCTGACTGGAAAAAAAAAAGAGAGAGAGAGAATATGTTTTCTTTTTTAAAAAATTTAATCAGGGTGACAAAAACATAGTATGTGTGTCACACCTCTCTCCTGCTGGACCAATGACAGTCATTTCTTTTTTTTCTTTTTTTTTTGAGTTGGAGTCTCACTCTGTCACCCAGACTAGAGTGCATTGGCCGCTCCCAGCCACCGCAGCCTCGACCTGCTGGGCTCCAGTGATCCTTCCACCTCAGCCTTCCAAGTAGCTGGAACTACAGGCGCACACTACCACGCCCGGCTACTTTTGTGATTTATTGTAGAGATGAGGTCTCGCCAAGTTGCCCAGGCGGGTCTCGAACCCGCGGGCTCAGGCAATCCACTCACCTCAGCCTCCCAAGGCATGGGATTACAGGCTGAGCCACTGAGCCCAGCTGACAGTCATTTCCAAACAATCTCTGGATTCTGTTATTGAGCCTGGAGGCAAACACCATGGTTCTGACCTCATTCCTCCAAGCTCACAATACCCAAACTACGATCCTGCACACCTGTAATCCTAGCAACTTTGGAAGGCCGAGGTAGGAGGATTGCTTGAGCCCAGGAGTTCGAGACCAGCCTGGGCAACATTGTAAGATCTCATCTCTACAAAAAAGTCAAAAAATTTGCCGGGAGTGGTTAGTCGGGCGTGATCATGCACAACTGTAGTCCCAGCTCCTTGGGAGGCTGAGACAAAAGGATCACCTGAGCCCAGGAGGTCGAGGCTGTGGTGAGCTGTGATCCATGCCACTGAACTCCAGCCTGGGTGACAAAGTGAGACTCTGACTCAAAAAACTACAAATTAAAAATGCAAAAAGTGCCGGGCTCAGTGGCTCAGCTTGTAATCCCGTGCCTTTGGGAGGCTTAGGTGAGTGGATTGCCTGAGCCCGCAGGTTCGAGACCCACCTGGGCAGTGAGACCTCATCTCTACAATAAATCAAAAAATCAGCTGGGCGTGGTAGCACACGCCTGTAATTCCGGCTACTTGGAAGGCTGAGGCGGAAGGATCGCCGGAGCCCAGCAGGTCGAGGCTGCGGTGGCTGGGAGCGGCCACTGCACTCCAGTCTGGGCGACAGAGTGAGACTCCAACTCAAAAAAAAAAAATGTCAAAAGTATGGTTCAAGCAACATCGGCATCTCCTTCGAGCTTTTTAAAAACGCAGATTCTCAGGCCCCGCCTCAGACTTACTGAGTCAGACTGTGTCTATTTACAAGATTCCTGGGTATTTTGCATGTACTCTAAAGTTTGGGACGCACTAGTCTAGGCAACCACCATGATCTATCAGATTGGATACATCCAATGAAGTGATTTGTTTATTTTTATTTTTTGAGTCGGAGTCTCACTCTGCTGCCCAGGCTGGAGTGCAGTGGCACGCTCACAGCCACCGCAGCCTCGACCTGCTGGACTCAGGCAACCTTTCCACCTCAGCCTTCCAAGTAAGCTGGACCCATAGGCATGCGCCACCACACTGGGCTAATTTTTTATTTATTGTAGAGACAAGGTCTCACCAAGTTGCCCAGGCTGGTCTCAAATCCCTGGACTCAGGCAATCCTCTCATCTCCGCCTCCCAAAGTGTTAGTATTACAGGTGTGGGCCACTGCACCCAGCAAAGCAATCTATTTAATCTCTGGTCTCAGCCTCCCCTAGTTCATGACTTTTGAAATGACATTTGCGGAAATGAGATAAATTCTATCTGTCTGGGTGTCCTTAGCAGCCAGCTCATGTGCTCCCTTCCCTTTCCCCCCTGCAGTCCATGGTGCTCCTGCTTCAGAGCCAACGTCAGTACATATTTGAGTATGACTCCTCCAGCCGCCTCCACGCCGTCACCATGCCCAGCGTGGCCCGGCACAGCATGTCCACGCACACTTCCATCGGCTACATCCGCAACATTTACAACCCGCCTGAAAGCAACGCTTCGGTCATCTTCGACTACAGCGATGACGGCCGCATCCTGAAGACGTCCTTTTTGGGCACCGGGCGCCAGGTGTTCTACAAGTATGGGAAACTCTCCAAGCTGTCAGAGATTGTCTACGACAGCACCGCCGTCACCTTCGGCTACGACGAGACCACCGGCGTTTTGAAGATGGTCAACCTCCAAAGTGGGGGCTTCTCCTGTACCATCAGGTACCGGAAGATCGGCCCCCTCGTGGACAAGCAGATCTACAGATTCTCCGAGGAAGGCATGGTCAACGCCCGGTTCGACTATACCTATCACGACAACAGCTTCCGGATCGCAAGCATCAAGCCTGTCATAAGCGAGACGCCCCTTCCCGTCGACCTCTACCGCTATGACGAGATTTCCGGCAAAGTGGAGCACTTTGGCAAATTTGGGGTCATCTATTATGACATCAACCAGATCATCACCACCGCCGTGATGACCCTCAGCAAACACTTCGACACCCACGGGCGGATCAAGGAAGTCCAGTATGAGATGTTCCGGTCCCTGATGTACTGGATGACGGTGCAATACGACAGCATGGGCAGGGTGATCAAGAGGGAGCTAAAGCTGGGGCCCTACGCCAACACCACAAAGTACACCTACGACTATGACGGGGACGGGCAGCTCCAGAGCGTGGCCGTCAATGACCGCCCAACCTGGCGCTACAGCTATGACCTCAACGGCAACCTCCACTTACTGAACCCAGGCAACAGTGTCCGCCTCATGCCCTTGCGCTACGACCTCCGGGACCGGATCACCAGGCTGGGAGACGTGCAGTACAAAATTGACGATGATGGCTATCTGTGCCAGCGAGGGTCTGACATCTTCGAATACAACTCCAAGGGCCTCCTCACGAGGGCCTACAACAAGGCCAGCGGGTGGAGTGTCCAGTACCGCTACGATGGCGTGGGACGGCGGGCGTCCTACAAGACCAACCTGGGCCACCACCTGCAGTACTTCTACTCTGACCTCCACAACCCCACCCGCATCACCCACGTCTACAACCACTCCAACTCGGAGATCACCTCGCTCTACTACGACCTCCAGGGCCACCTCTTTGCCATGGAGAGCAGCAATGGGGAGGAGTACTATGTCGCCTCTGATAACACCGGGACACCTCTGGCTGTGTTCAGTATCAACGGACTCATGATCAAGCAGTTGCAGTACACAGCCTACGGGGAGATTTATTTCGACTCCAACCCCGACTTCCAGATGGTCATTGGCTTCCACGGGGGACTCTACGACCCCCTGACCAAGCTGGTACACTTCACGCAGCGCGATTATGATGTGTTGGCGGGACGGTGGACCTCTCCAGACTACACCATGTGGAAAAACGTGGGCAAGGAGCCGGCCCCCTTTAACCTGTATATGTTCAAGAGCAACAACCCTCTCAGCAATGAGCTGGATTTGAAAAACTACGTGACAGGTGAGGACTTTGCCGCCACAGCTGGGCAGTAGCTCCCCGTGGGGTGGTTGTTTCTGTCGGGAACTTGGAAAGAAGGTCTCCCGTCTGATGGCGGGAGAAACCTCCAGAGCTGCAGAGCCGGGCAATGCAGTGGGTGGCAGTGCAGCGTCTAGAAAAGTAGAGAGCCAGCAGTACAGAGCAGTCACTAGGGCTGTTTGAAGATGTCCTGGCCACTTTCAAGTCCATTCACTTGAAGTAACTTTATAAGAGCCCTTCCTCCCCAACAGAGGAAATCACCCTAAGAAAGGGAACAAGAATAGGACTCTGGTGTCAGAAAGACTCGGTTCCATTTCTCTCTCTTCTATTTATAAGCCAGAGGGCCTTGGGGTAGTTGTCCAATCTCTCTGAACTGCAGTTTCCTTCTCTGTGAAAAGGCACTGATAAAACCAGCCCATAGAGTGACCATGAGAGGTAAATGAACTTACATAGAGAAAGTCTCATGTCTGGCGCTTACGGAGTGAATGTGCATGCAGTGGTTCCTGCTTATGTTATTAACACTGCCATTGCTAGTGAAGCAGTGAGTTAGCATAGGTACTGAGGTGACAGCTACCCAGATCCTGACCTACAGAGGTTCCCCTGTGAGAGATGTATACACACAACCAATGACAATGCAGAGAAGGAGTAAGTCTGTGCCACCAGACAGATGTCTGTCCAGTTGTTTATTCGAAAAGCATTTATAGGGTGTCACCATGCTTGATTCTGGGGATTCAGTGGTGAACAAGACAAACACCCTTCTCTCAAGTGTGTGTGTGGGTGTGTGTGTAGATTATTCCAGATGCACAAGATTCAGCACAGCATAGAAGAGCCCATGTCAAATTGGGCTTGGAGAGTTCATGGGATCTTGGTTGACAGAGTGGGGTCGAGGCTGAAGAAAGGCTGTGAGCACACAGCAGAGGACTTGGGAGGTCTGGCAGGGCATGGAAGGAGGGCCCAAGGAAGGCAAAGGACCTACCTACCCATAATGAATGAGGACCTGGTGAAATGAGGGTCCTGTCCATCCATCTACCCATTCATCCATCCATTTACAAATATGTGTAGAACATCTAACATGAACTAAATACTAGAGATGCAGTGGGATACAAGATGAAGTCCACAGGGAAATAGGTGAGGAAATCAGGATAGATAGATGGGTGATAGATGGGTAGAAACATACATAGATGATATATAGATACATAGATAGAGATGATGAATGGATGGATAGATAATTGACAGAAGATAGAGAAGTAGATTGGTTGTTAGGTAATTGATAGATGATAGATACATAGAGATAATAGATAGATGGATTGATAGGTAGATAATTGCTAGAAGATTAATTCTTGCATCACTTGATTGATGATTGATTCATAATTGATAGAAGACAGATAATGATACGTGAAACTATATATGTGTGTGTGTTTCCTGAGAGGTAGTTGACTTCGAAACATCGGTGAACTGGGGGATAAAAGTCATGGGGGTAAGAGAAGAAGCTGGGCAGGGTCTCCTGACGAGGAGGACAGGAGGGTTGACAGATGTCAGCCTGGTTAGCTTGGCTGTAGCTCCTGGGTTCGAAAGGTCTCACTGCTTCTGGTGTGTGGGGATGCTGGGGTCAACTTCAGGGCTCGAGTGTGTCAGGGAAGCACGACACGGCCACAGGTTGGCTGTGAAGGCTATTATTTCGGCAGTACAAGAACACCGTGGGCAGACAGTGCCCTAGGTAGCTGCTGTTTCCTTTCCTGCCTTGGGGATGGACAAGTAACTTCTGGTCATGTGACCAAAAAAGAGGGGGAAGGAAAGGAAGGAGAGAGAGAAGGAGGGAGGGAGGGAGGGGAAAAGGAAGGAAGGAAAAAAAGGAAGGAATGAAGGCAAAAGAAAAGAAAGAAATAAGCAGGGTTTTTTGAATAGCGTTCATTCCAAGTCTTCATAGGGACTCCATAAATGAGGATCAAATCAAGTTAAATGAAGTCCAAGAAAACTGACTCCAGAAACCATTCTAAAAGAGCCAAAACTTGAAAGGGCAGAGCAGCAGCCTGCGCAGAGCGGATGTCTGCTGCGGTCACCACTGAGGGCAGGGAGCCCCAGTGGAGAAGTAGTCAGACCAGGGACAGCCCGTACCGGATGAGGTGACCCCCAGAGGGCGGATCTGAGCAAACAACACCAGATCATCCTCCTCGCGTGTTGGCTGTCTGTAAACCCCATCTAAATTAGACTTAATTTGCCACTTAGGAGACCAGCAGAGTGGCTGAACTCGCTGCTCAAGTTGAAGCAGAAGAGGTAATTAAGATGCAGTAGAGAGGAATGCAAAGAATAGAACCTTCCCTCTCTGGTACCCAAATTAAGGGTAGCGATGTGGAAACAGACTCTCGGAGTGCACACAGAGGAAGTTCTGTTTCCCCCCGGGACGAGGGCACCAACTGGGCAGGAGCTCAGAGCCCTGGACAGGAACACAAGCAGCACCACGAGTGTCTGGAGGGATGAGGAGGGGCTCCTTCCCCCTCACAAACTCCAGGGCAGCAGCCCTTAAACAGGTAATGTGTTGAGCACTGATACTTTTTAGGTAGTATGTTGACCATTGATACTTCTGTGATGAAAAGATATGAGAGAAAAGGGTATAAGAAAAACTGGGGTGCCAGGCTCTGCAGCTCACACCTATAACCCCAGCATTTTGGGAGGCCGAGGCGGGAGGATTGCTTGAGCCCCTGAGTTCAAGACCAGCCAGGGCAACATAGCAAGACCTCATCTCTACAAAAAATTTTAAAATTAGCCAGACATGGTGGCACACGTATAGTCCCAGCTACTCTGGAGGCTGAGTTGGGAGGATCACTTGAGCCCTGTACTCCAGCCTGGTGAAGAATGAGACCCTGACTAAATAAAATAAAATAGAAAAGACTGGAAGACACTTCCTCCCCATAACCTGTGGTGCCCTGGGATTCTGGGTTTTTTTTGGGGGGGGAGGTTGAGTTGGAGTCTCACTCTGTCGCCCAGACTGGAGTGCAGTGGCCGCTCCCGGCCACCACAGCCTCGACTTGCTGGGCTCCGGTGATCCTTCTGCCTCAGCCTTCCAAGTAGCTGGAACTACAGGCGCGCGCTACCACGCCCAGCTGATTTTTGATTTATTGTAGAGAAGAGGTCTCGCCAAGTTGCCCAGGCAGGTCTCGAACCCGTAGGCTCAGGCAATCCACTCACCTCAGCCTCCCAAGGTGCGGGATTACAGGTAAGCCACCGAGCCCAGCTAATTCTCCTGTTTTAACATCTTAGGAAACTCTTCAGTCTTGGATGTTCCAGGACCTACACCCAGCCTCGGGCTCTGCCCTGATCTCAGCCTGGTTCCCTCTGATATTAGAACCTGAGTCCACCTCAAGATACCAGTTCTGGCCTTGCCAATTACTTGCTGTGTGACTCAGACAAACATCTTAACCTTTCTGAGCCATCATTTCTTGTGTGCAAAATGGTGATAATAATAGCATTCATCTCTTGTGGTTGTGAACATTAAATGAGTCTTGACATATAAAGTGCCTAGCACAGAGCAAAGGCTAGTAATGCATTCATTCTTTATAAACAGCTAAAGACTTGGAGATGGTATGTTTATAGATGAGGAGTGAAGGCACCGCCTTTGTATCATTTTCTGAGAAACATTGGGAGGGGTCTCCAGATACACCTTGAAATAGGCACTAAAGGCCGGGTGCAGTGGCTCATGCCTGTAACCCCAGTATTTTGGGAGGATCACTTAAGCCCAGGAGGTCGAGGCCAGCCTAGGCAACATAGCAAGACTTCATCATAGAGATAAAATAAAATAAATTAGCCAGGCGTGGTGGAGTACCCCCATAGTCCCAGCTACTCAGGAGGCTAAGGCAGAAGGATCGCCTGAGCCCAGGAGGTTGAGGCTGCAGTGAGCCGTGATCATGCCTCTGTATTCCATCCTGGGCAACAGAGCGAGACCCCAAATCAAAAAAGAAACAAAGAAACAGATTCCAAAACTCCAGCTCTGCGGAACCTCCTAGATGCAGCCCACGATTTCCCATCGTCCCTTTCTCCCTGGTGGGTTTGGGCTTACAATCCCCAGGCACACTTTAGCTTCAAGTCAGATCTTGTGGAGATTAATTTCTCTATGTGAGGAAGAAGGCACAACCTCCTTCTCACATTATCCTCTCCTCATATTTACACTTAACACCTGAAGATGCTGTACTGACAGCATCTTCAGAGGAGGCCGTGCTGGGCGGGTGGCGATCATCACACAATGTGGAGACCGTGAGAGAGGGGAGCAGAAGCAATTAGGCGGGGTGCCTCACCAGCTTCTGCCCAAAGACTCCCTCTTGTCAGATTGTTTAGGCGGCCTGTGGCCAGTTAACACCAATTATTTCTAAAGGAGTAGGGTGTTTGTGTGGGCCCAGAAGTGCCTTCTGCAGAATGAGGGAGGAGTCGGGCTATTTGAATAAACGTTTCAGAAGAGGTTAGACTCAGAAACCAGCCAGGTTAGAAACTTTAGAGAAGAAGGGGAAGGGGAGAGAGAGGAAGAAGGGGAAGGAAATGGAAGAAGAGAAAGAATCAGAACAAGAATAAGAAAGAATGCCTGTAATTCCAGCATTTTGAGAGTGTGAGGCAGAAAAATCACTGGAGGCTGGGAATTTGAGACCAGCCTGAATGGGACCCCATGTCTACAAAAAATAAAACAATTAGCCGGGCATGTTGGTGCACAACTGTGGTCCCAGCTACTCTGAGGATGGCCTGAGCCCAGGAATTCAAGGCTGCAGTGAGCTGGGATGGCACCACTGCACTCCAGTCTGGCCAAGAGAGCAAGACCCTGTCTCAGAAGAAGAAAAAGAGAAGGAAAAAGAGAAGGACAAGTAGGGGAGGGGGAAGGGGAGAAGGGAGAGGAGGAAAAGGAGGAGGGGAAGTAGGAGGAAGAGGAAGACAAAGAGGAGGAAAAGGGAAGGGAGAAGCGGGAAAGGGAGAGAAAGGGAAGAAGAGGAAGAAGAGGCAAGGGA